CCTAATAGCGATGGCCTCCAACCTAATAGCGATGGCCTCCAACCTAAGAGCGATGGCCTCCAACCTAATAGCAATGGCCTCCAACCTAATAGCAATGGCCTCCAACCTAAGAGCGATGGCCTCCAACCTAGGAGCGATGGCCTCCAACCTAAGAGCGATGGCCTCCAACCTAATAGTGATGGCCTCCAACCTAATAGCAATGGCCTCCAACCTAAGAGCGATGGCCTCCAACCTAATAGGGATGGCCTCCAACCTAAGAGCGATGGCCTCCAACCCAATAGGGATGGCCTCCAACCTAATAGCGATGGCCTCCAACCTAATAGCAATGGCCTCCAACCTAAGAGCGATGGCCTCCAACCTAGCGATGGCCTCCAACCTAGCGATGGCCTCCAACCTAATAGCGATGGCCTGCAACCTACTAGTAACGACCTCCGACCTAATAGCGATTGCCTCTAACCTACTAGTCATGGCCTCCAACCCAATAGCGATGGCCTCCAACCTAATAGCGATGGCCTCCAACCTACTAGTCATGGCCTCCAACCTAATAGCGATGGCCTCCAACCCAATAGCGATGGCCTCCAACCTAATAGCGATGGCCTCCAACCTAATAGGGATAGCCTCCAACCTAATAGCGATGGCCTCCAACCTAATAGCAATTCCGGGTTTGGCCGGGTGGAGTTTCCAAATCTTCAGGTCAAGGATCCTACACAGTGATGTCCTGGGAATTGGGTCACAGCCTCGGTATGAATGAGGGAAGGTATTGGTCAAGAATCTTGAGCTCTTGCAGGTATTGGTCAGCCAGTTCCGACTTGGATCAACATCAAGTCAGGGGCTAACTCAGAGAGATCAGTAGTGTGGTCTTCTGCACAGAGGGTCTGCGCATTGGCCATCACTTGAGGAATGCGGAGAATCAAGCAGTTGCCAATGCACAAGTCTACATTGTCCACAAGGACTATACCCATGCGTGAGAATTGAGATGTTTCTGGTCCACTCGTCGCATTGTGAAGATGTGGCAACATGCTGGGTAAACGGGGGTTGCCCGGACTGCCACATGCACAGGGCCAGAAAACCATGCATTTTGGAGGGTATTTTGGCTTTCGGGACACTCAACTTATCGTCTTGGACGATAACTTGAGTGCATTTTAAGACAATACCTGGTCAATGATCTGCACATCCAGGATTCTGTTGTGCCACAGACATCAGTCCTCTGCCCAATCGAGCCATGAGGTCACTGTACATTCGAGCTGGCGGACAAGTGTCTTGCACAGCCTCTCTGTGTCTCTGTGTATTTTCGCAGCTTGCAGCATTGTGTCCAGCCCTGGATGTTGGCTGAACATGGCTGAATCACAATGCTGCGAGGCCATCCACGTGCTCTCGTTGCAGCTTAACAATGCAAGCGTATGAAAGCTCCTGAACAAATGAGAATCGGATCCGAGACGCGGGCGGGAACACATGTGAATGTGGGCAGCCCCAAAAAAGGGTCAGCCGTGAAAGAAAGGACCCCCAAGTGCTGATTGGGGGAAGGGCACCTCAAGCCGGACAAACGCAACAACAGAACTAACGACAAACACAAACAAACCTCGAACATCGAACCCGTCATGTCCTCTAAGCAAAAAAGCAAAGCCAAGGTCGAGTTACCCGAGTAGAATGCGAACGGAGCGTCGCGAAGTCGACAACGAATCGCGAAGGTCGATTTATGACTAGTAACACGAATGAAGCTGCCCCCAGCCCCCCCCAGCCATCACCCGAGAACCTTGTTCCGTGGTCGGAAACGTTTGCTTTCCGGCAAACCCCCGTTGTCCCAACATGCTGATGTGATACTGGTATACAAGAGGTTATAAGACACTATAAGAGCACAATATTTTTTGAGTTTTTGCGTATATGAACATATGACAAAATTACGCCGGGAGCGCTCTGCAGCAGCAGTAGCAGCACGACCCAGGCTTCAAAGCGCGCACTGCCAGAGACATCTAGCGGCGGACCCTGCAGCTTCACCCCGCACCCTCACCTTGGAACCAGACCCTGCAGCGGCACCAGCACCCAGCCTCCAAAAAGCTCACTTTGCCATCAACATCTGGCAACAGCACGCTGCAGCGTCAGCAGCACCCAAACTCCAAAGCGGCACCTTGGAGCGGTCCCCTGGAGCGGCCCCGTGAAGCACCCAGGCTCCAAAGCGCACACAGGCGCTTGAAGTAAGAACCCCAATAGCTCTCGCTATTTGGGGAACAAGATTGACGTGAGTGTGCTGCAGAGTCAAGTGCTGTTAGACAAGTGAGAAAATGTATATATCAAGGTTGATCGTTGTCACATGTTGTGATTCAGTTGGGGAGGGCAAGTGCTCAACCATCGGTGCGCCCAACGGACCGCATTGCCTTTAACGCTTTCGAGGAGAACGTTGTGAGCTTCCTCAGTTCCCGAATCAAGGGGATCGGCTTCGACTTTCCATCGGTGAGCTTGATCCCTGTCGGGCGCCCCAGGAAGCACCGATGGGGATGGCACATGGGGCGGCTTGTCATGGCATGGCCCTGTGGGATGGGTGAACCAATTGAAATGGCAGGGCCAGATCCAGAACGAGTACAAGGACCTCCCAGCAGACGTGCTCCACGCCAGAGTTTGTAGTTCATATTTCACGTTTCGTTGCCTTTGGATTGCTTGACCTACTCAACTGGTCGAAGGCATGCGCAGGTCCTTTTGCACAACATCACACAACACTGTAACATGAGCTGTGTCATAGGGCTGTGATTATCATGATACATCAACGTTCTTCCGTCCGCTTTGACTTATATAGTCGTTCGAAACCAGAATTGCTTTGTGTCCCACGCCAGTGTCCCTTGAAGATCCACCTGATCCTGGGCAATCGCTGAAAACTCAGAGCATATCGAAGTTCTCTCAAGAGGTCCGACGAAAAGCCCTGAAACCTGATGAAGCCTGGTCTATTGCCGAGGAAGCTATTTGGTGGACGTGAATCCCAAGTCCATGGGACAAGGGGCAGTTTTCACAGGCCGAATGTCCCTGCCATCCAATGCTTTTCTTGGAATCCAGATGAATTCAAACAGCTTTGGCTCGGTTTGTTCGCTGGTGGAGCGCCACTTGCACCGTGGCACGTGCAAACGGCTTGCTTCGGTTCAAAGGTCAAACGGTGATTGAACTCTACCCCAGCTTTGTCGACATGTGGGTGCCGAGCTCGAAGCATCGGGCCGAGGGCCGGGCCCTCCCACCCGTCCGGTCGGCTCGGCTCCCAGGCCGCCTGCGCGACGACGATGGAGTTTTGCACTTCGCCCAAGTTCGATCCTTGGAGACGACGTCGATCCCATGGGGTCACCGCGTGGAGAAAGGTTCTCCCGTGCCGCGAGAAGAGGAGGGCGAGCGACGAGAGCGGTTTCAGGATTGAACTCTGGTGTGGAAGTCAAAAGTTGGGCTCAGCTCCAGTTCCACCGGTCTGGAGCTCGTTCGATTTTTTTGGCAGTGACTTTTTGCAGATTCGTTGGAAAAGAAGCCATCACCAGAAAATTTGTGGCCCAGTTCGGGATTCCTGTGCCAGAAGAGAGCAACTTCATTGCTCCATCCTCAGCAGAAGCAGTTTTTTAAAATCCAAAGCACCAGACAGAACAGCCAATCAATGGGTGTTAGCCTATGCTCCGTCTACCTACCTTGTCGCCCCTATATAGAGGTCTCTCCTCAGCATGAGTTATATATACATATTCATACACACAGACATACATACAACTTTGACTCCTTTAAGGCACTAGACTCGACCCCTAACCGTCTCAGGAAGATATGCTGGGCATGCAGCCAACAATGGCACCTGCCATTGGTACGGAGCAAACCAACAATTTGCCCGCCGTCGATGCCTGAATGCCAGTTTGTTTGGCGTTTCTTGCTCTTTTCGTGCATTTTCGTGCTGAGTCCTCCACTGCGATCAGGTGCAAGTGACCACGCCCAACAACATTCCAGTCGCAACGATCACATCGGAGGTGCCTCCGAGCCCTTTGGGGTCGGTTTTGGGCTCGAGACTCGAAGGGCTCAAGTCCCAGTGGAGATGCTTTAAATGAGGTATTTTTACCTATTTTTGCGATGTGCACCAGAAGTTTTGTTGGTGTACTTTGGTGCGTATGACAGGGAGCGATTTGTGTGTACTTTGCGTGTTGGTCTCTTCCAGTTCGGGACTTTTTGGGCGTCGCATGCTGCTGACAGGAACACAACTACCCCAACACTTCTCGCAAGGTACGACTGTCACCCGCAACGGCTTCCAGCTCATTCCTGTCTCCTTCGTTCGCTGCAGATGTCGGCTCCTAAGGGTAGTCAGATGTGCGTCCATTGCGATTCCCAATCTCCGCAGCCTGTGCTCTTTCTCCACACTCAGGTCACCATGGGCGAGCAAATTGAGTTCATTTGGACTATTGCTGACACCGTGGCTGGCCAGGCACCTCCATTTCCAGTTGCCTTCCAGGGTCATGTGCCAGGAGAGGGTGGAAGAAGTTTCAGTCCAAGCACTTTTTCAGGCGATGACCTTCAAGGTGATTCCCATGAAGATTGTGAGCCAACAGCAACTACCAGACCAGGAGCGGGAATCGGCTTTTGACGAAGGAAGTCCAGGATGCTAAATGGAGCTGGTCAATTGTGCGGATCATGGAATAGCAAACGCCTTCCGAAAGTATTCAAGAGTTGAAGATCTCGTCATCCTGCAGGACCTCTCGAAGTACCGCAAGATTGGCGACAGCTTCCTCTTCTCAGAGTCTGATTCCACACAGGCCGGCCCACCACTCCCGTCCTCCATCCTGCGCCTCCGAGAGATTCAGGCGGATGTGCCGGGCACTTGCCAAGCACGACCCGTCCATGGCATGGAGGCCAGTCCCGTGTGCGAGCGCGAAGCCAAAAGCGGGGTTGACCAAGCAACGACATGAAGCAAGCAGAGTCAAGGACCATTCTAATGAATGTTTGTGAGTGGGTGGGTTATCTTGGAACCCCCCCCCATGGCCATGAACGCTGATGAGGCATCAGCACTTCCGTGCTCCTTCGCCAAAGCCTTGGCCTTCAATAGCCGACACCTCAGCGTCCAAGATCCTGTGTGCTGCACGAGCTCTGAAGCTCTGAAACGCTCGGTGGGCTTAGGAGCTCGGAGCGAACTTCACCGGAGCGACATGTCATGACATGTCCGTTTAAGGAAGCTACTAGCAATGGTCTCCAACCTTCTAGCAATGGCCAACCTAGTAGCCATGGCCTCCAACCTAGTAGCGATGGCCTGCAACCTAATAGCAAAAGGAACATACTAGCAACCTAGTAGCGATCCAAAACCAAGGTCCCGGCTTTGCGACCGGAGACAAGATGATTGTCATGGTGACGTGGCCGCTCGGTTTCAACACTCTGTGTGAACAAGATGGCTCGGTGGCCGGGTCGCCGGGTCGGCGGAATTGGCAGATGTTTTTCATTGGGTGAGGATGCAGGACAACAAGGAGCACAAGATCTACTCCCCGGCTTTCAGACTGGTGGGTGGTGTCACCATGCCCACCATGCCTGTTCCTGGTGGCACAAGGCCAGAAGCCTTGCATGACATGACTCCGAGTTGACTGAAGAGTGACAGACGATGACAGATGATGACAGATGTGTGGGTAGCCCTTCGCACCCTTTGGCAAATGTCACATCCGACAAGACTTCCGTACATGTACTTTAGTCATGAGCCGCCTATAGCCGCCTGAAGTATTTCTGAATCCTTTTTCTGAATTGGTCGAAACCTTGCAAAAACGATAGGGGCCAACCTAAAATACTTTTGGGGACAGGGGGACACCAACAAGTTTTGTCCGCTTGGAACATGGACACTTGAGACGGTACTCGAAATTGTCACCAGGAGATTACAAGCAGCCGCAGCTGCAGCCTTGCCACCGGCACAGAGCAATCTTCGAAGCCCCAGTCCAGCACCTGCAACTCCGGCACCCACGCTTGGGGCAGGGAACTCTTCTGTGCCCTGGCAGAGTCCAGCAACCAATTTGTGACTGTGAAGTTCAAAGTCAGTGAAAGTGCCACCGAAGTTCAATAGATCAAGAATGATAGAGGGTGATACAATAGAAGACTTTGAAACATTTTCTAACTCATCTTCAGAGACAAGTCATTGTTGAATCCATTTTGGGACTCTTATTGAGTGGCTGTGGGCAGGAGAATCAAAGCGAGGCATGTGCCCGGCAGGCCTGTCGGGTCAAATTTCATCCAAACGAGTGACACAGACCCCCATTGTATTTCTCATTTGCCAAGATTTCAGTGCAATGGGATATTGAATTCGACAGACTTGTCTCCAGTCTTCAGCTGTGCTCCACCTGCGCGTTTCCATTGCTGTTCCTGATTCAGCTTTTTTTTGTATAGCTATTCCCTCAAATGGCAGGATTTGCGCTTCAATTTTGGACAAGGTGTGGAAGTACGCTTGGAGGCCGCTTTTGGATCCGTCCGGATCGCTTTTCCGTCCTTGGGGAGAGTTGTGCAGGTGCTGAGCATGGGCGTCCCACAGGCGCTTCAACAGGACACTCGGAGAGGCGGAGGTTCTGCGGTGGACCCCAAAACTGAGCTGAAGAGCGAGCGACGAGAATAGATGGATCATCGGATGGTTTGTCAACATGGTCCATCCAAAAAGGGTTTCTAGATGTGGATTTCATAGCAATTTTATCCCCGTAACAATAGGCTCTATAAAATCTAGGGGTCATGGTATGGCATAACACGTTTTATGAGATGGTCCTTGAGGGTGTCTGAGGGTGATTTATAGAGAACTGGGTGCTTGATATGTACAGTCATTGATTTTTGAACACGTGCGTGGATGGCTCAGTTCCAAGTGCCTACAAATGTGTAACCAGAAGCATAGCTAGCTGTGAAGCCGGAGATTGGGAATGTAGATGCTAGAATGTTGAGCGTATATTCAGTGTCACTGAGTCAAGTTTTGGAGGTCTGGTCTAGTGAAAATATAGGATTTCAGCTGTGGTGGGGTCACACCAAGTTATGTTCCTTTGCTGGTGGGCTTCACCATTTTATAGCTATAAAATCTGTGGCAGGACCCCCTACCCGGGATTGACACGGGGATGCAATTTTCGTGCACCATTCCAAATCTGCATGCGTCTATGATCAGGACATGCCGATGATGGCAATGGATGACAATTCAGGTCCAGTCTACACGAGCCCTTGGGGTGCGCCTGGCAAAGATTATCATGTTGTGGACATTAAGTGATACAATGCGGTAGAAGAGGACCGTGATGGAGGCAGGTACTGCTAGGTGTCCAATTGGGGGAATTTTGAAGACATGGTGGCTGAAGGGTAATCCTGGTTTTGAGGGGCCAGAAGCTGATCTTGATGTGGGATTCTGGATGCGTTTGATGCGTTTGGGTCACGCCAGAAGCGATGGGCGGCAATCAGCCTGCAATGGAAGCCAAGGAGCTAGAATTGGAGTTCATGGCATTTGCTGACACAATTCATCAGCTCATTCTGCAGTCATTCTCAGTTCACATGCACTGTCCGGCAGTTCATCATGCTGCAACACACGTCTTACGGTCCCATATTTCCCCATCTCAGAGGACTTCTTGCCCGAGACGGCCTGTGAGATGGGCATGTGTGATACGGCCCTGCCAGGTTGCCGTCAGGCGCCAGTCGGACTGGGCCAGTCGGACTGGGTCGGACTGGGTCGAGTCCAAGAGTCATCCAGGTGTACCACGGCCACCGCGCTGTCCGCATCTGTGTTGAAATGACTTGAACTGAAAGGACTGTGGGTCTTTCAACCGAAAAAACACCTTGAGCTGGGTCACAGGGTCACCTGTGGGGCTGGTTTTCACATCCCCAAATGATTTTAAGAAGGACCTTGTTGGAAGGATTGTTTTGGTCAACAGAGAAAACCTGTCATGTCAGCCCACGAAATGCCAGAGTCAGCCTGAAACTGCGGCAGATTTTGGTTGTCATGCGCTCCAGGCTTCCTTCAAGCAATTGTACTTCCCGAGACTTGTTTTCAACTTTAGCAGGCCAGTCTCTCATTCTGATGTTCTGAGTTTCTTACTTCCCTTGGGATATCCTCCGGCACGTGACCAACAGGCCCTATTTCTATAACCACAACGAGACCAACAGCACGTGGCAAGCTAAGAGACTCCAATCCCAAAGACCATGGGCGCGACAGGCACCTGGCCTAGACTGTTTTCACCTGGTGCCGGTTGTTTATCAGCCACTCTCAAGGACTCAGAAGCTCATCCAAGAGGCGATGGCATGGGCCTTCTCGGCCATGCCTGAGGCGGGGTTTGGATGAGTTTGGAGCGGCGCAGAGCAGCACGGAGCAGCGTGGGGTCTGGGTATGAACATGGGTGGCAGCATAGAGCCCATGTTGGAGACACCTGGCAGCATAGAGCCAACACAGAAACCAAGTCACCACCACAGCAAGTCACACCTGGACCCCTGAATGAAGCCGTTGCTTTGGAACCATCCATGACGTCCGCAGGCCATCCAAGTGGTTCTGCAGGAGTTGGAGCAACGAGAAAAGGACCCGAACGACCTCCACGCGGTTCTGCGACCATCGTACGTCCCTTCGGAAGCCACTCCTGTTTCTGTCTGTGTGAGCTGTGGCTTGTGACACAAGCCGAACGAACTGGAGGAGCTCCAACAGCAGGCGGGGGGAGAGCGGCTGAACCCCACACGCCCTTTTTCTAGCTACGTTGAGAAAACAACGCATCCGCCCTGGGTTCCGTGCCTCGCGCTGAAACGCATCGCCGAAACGCATTCGCGCCTGAGACGGCCGTGCCGAACTACGGCTTTGGCGCGTACTCGCAGCCGAATCAGAACCAGTTTGGCTTTAACAACGGCCAGATGCCAAGGGGGTTGCAGGGTCTTTTCTTGTTGGGGTCTCAAGATGCGATCCAACCGCGAAGGGATTTGTTTGACCCCATTTGTTTGATTCCCATTGATTCCTACAATTTTGCAAGTGCCCCTTATTGTTTCAGACACAGACATTTTACTTTGCATCCAAGAAACTTTGCTTGAGGTCAGCAGCAGAACAACTGGTTCAACAGCCCTCAGGCGACTGGCAACACGCAGCAGGCAACTGGGTCAAACGCTTGGAAAGACAAGGCAATCGTTTTTTCGAAGAAAACAGACACTGTATTTACTGTAATTTACTGTATAATCTGTACATATATTATAACTGTGTCAAACGTTTTGCTCAAAGCGCATGGTCGTTATTGTTTTTGTGATGTTAGTGACTTCCAACAGAGTCATCTCAGAGCCCACATTCAAAGACCTTTGTGCTTTTGATTGGCTTTGAGTCATTTGCTAGCTGCTAGCGATTTTCAGATACGAGGATGCGAACAAACAGCGATTTCAGCACTCGCTTTCGCAGATGCCACAAGCCTTTGGCAAATGGTGGAACACCCAAAGAAGGCCTGATATGTTCGGTTTGGTCATGACTATATAGCTGTTTTATATATCCATGATGATCCATGCAGTGTTCGTCAGAGCTGGAGGTTGACAGCCAAGAGGATGGGTGTGGATGGGGCACTGGACTTGGCTAGCTGGCTGCATGTGCTTGAAGATCCCAAAACGTTGCTCTGTCTCAAGGAAGGACGCCCTGTTGAGATGCCAAGCAAGCTGATGTCGCATCAGGCTGTAACTGTATCGGATGAGCCATCGGCTGAAGCATTGTTTTTGTTCTTTTTCTTTGCTTGGCAGGCGGAGGTTCAGTTCCGGAATGGGCTGCCATACCGAGTGGATCATGTCCTCTTGAAGAAAATGATTAAGTCAGGCCAGGCGACGGACGCGATTGGGTCTCAACAGGTAGTTTGGATTGGCTGGGCTGGTTGCTCGTTCATGCTTGTTCCGTCCTTTTGATACAAAGCCAACTGACTGTGGATTTCCTTCATCTCATCATTTTCTCCGTTTTCTCTCACTTGCTGGATGAGGCATGATTCCGGTGGATGACGGTCACAGCAAGAAGCTTGGAAAGCTGAATATCATTGGGTCCAGGACTCAAGACTTTTTCGATGGCATGCCATTGGAGTTTTGCAGGAGGTAGATTCATGTTAAACAAATCCGAGTCAGAGTAATGTATATATATATATAAACATATCGTTTATAAAGTACTTATATAATATATAGACTCTTGACTCTTGCTTAATGAGACCTCCCATATGAAAAGGCTATACATTCCAAATGGCGGGGTTTTATTAATCAAGAGTCTACCTTAAGACTTCTCTCCTTTTCCCCAATCCTCAATTCTATGCTCAGGTTCTACTTCGAGGATCTTGGAGCAATTCAAGTCCCAGAATCCGATGTTCACGCGCGAGCAGGACCGTGTGGTGGGATCTTTAATTTCCACAATAGAGTCCGGCCCAAGAAACCTTTAGTTCAATGGGGGATTAGTTCCTTGATGATCCTTGATGGGGATTTAGGAGGGACCTTCAGGTGGTCAGGTGGTACCTTGTCGAATATTGCGTTGCATTCCGCTGTCAGGATGGGCTGGATGGGTCACTGCGTTAGCAGCACTCTGCTTGGGTGTGACCACGTCAGCGTGGCTTGCTCTGACTTCCCAACGCAAGGCATGCGCAGCAACTGCGGCTGTTGCCTTCGGAGCTCAGCTCTAAGTTTCCAGAGGAACTCGGAGAAGACAACTCTACCCTGAAGTGCCTTTTCAGAGATTTCACTTGCTGTAGGATGTAGGAGACGGACCATGCCACTTGCTGCTAACTTGCTGAATTGCGAGGTCTTCCTGCGTTCTCGATGTAGTGACTCCGGTCTGGGAACCTGGCATTTGCAGAGCCTCTTCACACTTTTTGTCTCGTGCTTGGCGCCCCAAGGCTACAAGCCACAGCTGCTCGAGGCAGCTCAGTGCGAAGAAGGCGGAGTGGCTCAGAGTCCACAGCGTCCCAAAGGAGCTTCTTTCCTTGTCGAGCATGTCGAGATGTTAACACCGATGTTCCCGACCGTTGAGGCCTGGAATGAGCAAGACTCGCCGGATGTCCCAGAGCATTTTTTCGAGGGCTTGGTGTTCGTGGCCTCTACTTTGAACCGAGGCTTATGTCCTTAATTCACTGCATCCAGTCAGTCTCTCGGTCCAGCCTTTGGAGGATTATGAGGCACTGCATGGCACCGCTTGATTGGGCTTTCGATCTCCAAGGTTTCACGTCCTCGAGTTGTTTTTTCGTGGCAAGAGGCTGATGTGAAGCTGAGAGGGTTGCGAGCCAACTGCCATTTATTTTGACGAGCTGTGGATCCACAGCAAAAAGCGGCGTCCTAATTGGTTTGTATCGTCATGCATCTTTTTACGTCCCACGTTGCGCTTTTTCGAGCAACTGGGTCGCATCGGAGCGGGAGGAGTTCGATGACACCTGAGAATGGATATGACCAACCATGATACAACATGATACAACAGACAACAGCCCCTTTTTCTAAAAACAAAAAAGGTGAAACCACAGACAGTCAGACAGTTCGCTCAAAAGAAAGTTCGAGCTCCGTTGGCAAGCCGAAGCGCTTGGCTGGCTTCAGTACAGCTTCTTTGTACCATTTACCACGTCGATTCCAAAAGACTCCTGGTGCAATTGTTTTTGCGTGCATTCGATGAGTTTGGCATCATCGGACGAGTGAGGAGAACAAAGCTTTATGGGTGTGCCTCTCCACACAATCACACGTGATGCGTCACCGGCGTGCTGAGAAACCCATCAGGTTCAATCTTCCATTGAACAAGCGGTGCTTGCTTCGGCATCGTTGAGGCGCAGCATCTGCCAAGTTCATTTGATCTCTGCTTACGATTCTGTTTTGACGGCCACGGCTTCGTGCGCCCCGTCAGAAAAAAAAATGAAACCTTGCGTTTGGGCGGCTTCGGGTTCGGCAGGACCTTGGAACTGACCACATCCCAGAAGCTGGCGTCACCGACTCAGCGCGCGTCGCGGAAAGCTGAAGAGGACGGACCATGGGTCGTAGCGACCCAAACGGTGTCTCTTTTTAATGTTTTAGTGTTTGTTTGTTTTTTTTCCCAATGTTTGTGTCTTTAAAGCACAGCACGAAAATGGTGGATGATTCGAACATTAGTAGGAGACGTTGACCATGTCAACCCGATGTGTTGATGGATTTCGGATTCGTGGCCGAAGCCTGAGGGATGGGACCGTGACCCAGCTGCTGGAGTGCGGGCCCTCAAGGTGGCCACCCTTTGACGGAAGGACGGAGGGGCCTGTCGCCTGTCAGGTCTTGACAGCTAGGTCTTGGCTGATTGATGTTGGATTTGAAACACCCTGAGCAGTCCTAGTTCTTCGTCATGGGCCAATTGATCCGCTTTTTTTCTGATCTGAGGAATTGTCCAAATCTATCATTTCTTGATGTGGGACATTGCACGGGCCTCATGGGACCCCTGGGCTGTTGCGTGCTGCGTACGGGGCGAACGGGCTTGTGATGCATGAGATCCACCGGAGGCTGTCAACTGGTGGAGCCAAAATTGACACATCCCATTCTGGAGACTGCTCCAATCTCAGCACGTTAGTTACAAAGACGTAGAAAGAGAGAAGGGGTCAACAAGTCAATGAGTTGTTCTAACTGCTGCTGCGAAAGCTAAGGGAGAATCTTGCAAGGAGTCAAGTAAGTGGAACATGTATGACCAGCCCTGACAGCTCTGACTGACAACAATGAGCATCTGGATCCACACCCATGCACCGTGACTGCGGTGAGCCGCTCGCCTCCGAGCCGGCCAGATCCTTCTGAGCTTCTGCGTGAACCTTCGAGAATCCGCAGTGGCTGGCCTCTTTGAGAACTGTCCAAAGTTGAGGCGGGCAGCGCAGCGGCGCTGCGCCAAATCCACACGTACCGCCGCAAAATCTTGTCACAGACCATGGCCGGACATGAACATTTTGTCCTTTGCCTCATGGCATTTTGTTGCTCCAAAAGAGAAAGGCAGCCTCCTGCCTGTTTTTAAGAGTCAGCAACGAATGAATTCTGTGCCTGGGTGTTCTGAGCCTTTGTTGACCTCATGGACAGTCGCGCATGCGACTACTTGTATGTGTTTCTGGGTGTCAATCTTGGTGAGGTCACAAGAGCTCGATACGATCAAAAGCTGCTTGAGAGTATCTATCACCTTGATGAAACATGTTGAAAACACCTGCATACCCAGTTGATGCCAGGTATGTCGAAATTGCAGTTTGCATGTTTGACATGACCAAGTTCCAGAGAACGTTCGGAGCCTCAGACCTCACTTTCAAAAACTGGCAGCAATGTGCATCACTGAGGTGCAGACCGGAATGTACAGTGGTCGTCAATTTCGATTTCTGAGGAAATCTTTAATTTCAATTATATATATTATATATTGATATTGTTGGGAATTTATGGACGATTTGCATTTTATATGAGCAGCATTAAAAACCTCTATGTAAGGGCTTTATCATGGTGTTGTTTGGCAAAACCTTCCCGAAAGGTAAAAGCTGCGGCGCGAAAGGTCTGACAAAGGTTCGCGAAAGTTGCGCTTTAGATGGAATTTGCGAACGGGTGTACGACAGGTTTTGTTTGAATGGGTTATGTTAGTTTTTGCTATTGCCGCTGTTAGCGACCCCAGAGGAAATCGCGATTTTATGGTGCTGTTAGGTTGATGCTTCCTCGTTGATGTGGGGTGGGATGGGGTGGGGTGGGGCATTTTATATGTTAACGTTCGCTTGCACTTGCGTCACGAAGTTGATTCTTCGTGGTAGATGTGGGGTGGGGTGGGGCATGTTAACGTTCGTTTGTATTTGCGTCACGAAGTTGATGCTTCGTGGTAGATGTGGGGTGGGGTGGGATGGGATGGGGTGGGGTGGGATGGGATGGGGTGGGGCATATTAACATTCGCTTGCATTTGCGTCACGATGCTTCCGTGGTAGATATGGGGTGGGGCATGTTAACGTTCGTTTGCATTTGCGTCACGAAGTTGATGCTTCGTGGTTGATGTGGGGTGACGTAAAATGCATTGATAAATATGTCCGTAGTTTTTAATTTCGGTGGAGCAATCGAGGAAATTGTTTGAGGCATTGGTCCGAATGTGGCCGTAAGTGTAAAGAAAATAATACACTTGCAAAACGCGTGTGCGCCAAAAGAGAGTGTATTTTCTGCTTTTTTTTTTTTTTTTTTTTTTTTTTTTTTTTTTAGTTTTGATACTTATGAAAAATGACATAAAAATGCATATGATCTAAATTTTCCCGAATGAAAAAATAAAAATGCAAGGTTTTGAACACTGTATTTTCCGAATATGCGAATTGTATAGGGTCATTATTACCGGCGGTATCTTTTTTAGCCTTGGCCTGGGCGGCGGGGTCTCGGTGTTTCGGTTATATTTAAGTAGGTCGTGTTTCGGTTATGTTTTGGCTTTGTTTCGATTATGTTTTGGCAGTGTTTTTGTTTTGGCTTATGTTTAGGTGGTGCTTCGGTCGTTTTTTGATGATATATTGGTATTATTTTGGTGGTGAGTATATTTCGATTTTTACGAAATTACTTTTAATTGTTTGAATTTAATTAGTGTTAGTTATAGAATGGGATTTTTTATACGTTATGATTTTGGGTTCGTTAAAGGCGAAATTTTAAATAATACGTGGTGGATATTTAATGGATTAATATTTTATAATGAATGATTTTTAAATTTATATTGGTATTATGAATTTTTATATTTAATTTTAGGTTTTTTAAATGAAAATTGGTTGATAGGTTTGAATTGGTTGAATGAACGAAATGAATTAAGGAAATGATTGGGGGGGGCGAGAAGAGGTATTTTTTGAAAATTTGAATTCGGAATTTGACGTTTTAAAGCGAGGGATAGGAAAATAATGAGATTACGAAAAATTGTTTGGTAAGGATTATTTTGAATTTGCTTTGCGAAGCATAGGGATTGGCTTGAGAGTTTGTTCGGGACTAAAAATTGGTAGATTAATCTTCTCCCCCTCTTCCCCTTTCTTATGTGATAAATAATTAATTCGAAACCCTTTCCCTCCCGATTCCCCTCTTCTTCCCCGTCGCTTCCCTTCGTCGCTATTATTATTACATTCTGGATATAAGGTGAAATTATGCGCTTAACAATTATAACAATACGACGTTGGCTATGAGGTCGCGCAATATAACACGAACCCTACGTAATGAGGTCGCGTAATGTAGCTTCGATGTCACGCGTGCACACCTAACAACCTAACACAGCGCGTATTCAAGACCATATTGTTCGACACTAACGAGCGTCGATGCAACGCAGCCTTTTTGCAAAGCCCTGTGGAGAAACCCCTCGCGTCGCGGAACACCATTCGATTTAGCCTTATACCCTAGTGTGGCGAAATCTTACCGCATCGTGGAGTACGCCCACCATACCGTGACGTCCATCCCTGGCCTACCGGCCGCTTATAAGGGGATTGGTCACTGAATTATTGCGGTTTCTACGCAACGCATACAGGCCTGTAATCCTGACACAGTGCGCGCAGCTGTGGGACCATAGTTGGTATACATGCGAGCGTTTACGCCTTGCGACTTTTACACGCGCCTGTTTTCACACACCTAGACACAAACGAGCGTCGACGCAACGCAGCCTCTCTGCAGAGCCGTGTGGCGCAATCTGACCGCAACGGAGTTCCTCTTGAGCCTTTTTATGCCTTCTTGTGCTCTCTGGCTTTGTTGGTTTTATCCATGATTGACCAAGGGGCACGTTCTTGAAACACCGGAAACAGTCCCTCACCCGAAAAGGTCCCGACAGCTACTCGGGCCGTTTTTACCTTTCGTGTTTCCCCGCTCAAATTTGCAGAAAGAATGATATAATGGATATTGAATAAAATATTATTAATACTATAAAGGTATTTGGAATTAATTCTATAATTTTGAATAGGATATAAATATTATATTTTTTTGATTATACGAAGAAGGATTAAATAATGAAGAATGAATATATTCTGGGAGTGATTTATATTAGCATATCGAATTGGATAAAATAGAAACTTAATTTTATAATATTGAATAGG